TGGTGCCATGCCAGAGTTCCCAGCTACTTGGGAGGCTGAGGGCAGGAGAATCACTTGAACCAGGGAGGCAGAGTTGCAGTGAGCCGAGATACACACTGGCACTCCAGCCCGGGCAACAAAAGTAGAGCTTTCTTAAAAAAAAAAAAAAAAAAAAAGAGGGCCAGGCGCGGTGGCTCACGCCTGTAATCCCAGCACTTTCGGGAGGCCGGAGGAGGGTGGATCACGAGGTTCAGGAGTCGAGACCATCCTGGCGAACACAGTGAAATCTCCGTCCTACTAAAAATACAAAAAAGATTAGCCGGGCATAGGGGGTGGGCGCCTGTAGTCCCAAGCTTCTAGGGAGGCTGAGGCAAGAGAATGGCGTGAACCCAGGAGGCGGCGGAGCTTGCAGTGAGCAGAGATCGTGCCATTGTACTCCAGGCCTGGGGTGACAGAGCGAGACTCCGTCCAAAAAAAGAAAAAAAAGAGAGAGAGAGAAGAAAAATCAGGGAACTGGATGTTGCTTGTGGGAAAATAATGAGTCGTTTGGAACCCTCCTCCTAAAAAAAAACCTCAGGTCTTCATCCTCTGGCCCCATCTTCCTAAATCGACCTACTCTACTGTTCCTCACATCCAGAAACACCTGCCTGGCATTCCCAGCAGCGACCCTGAGGACATGATGAGCGAGATCTCCTTATATTTGAGCATCCAAGGACTGGGGGAAGTGCTAGTTACGAACACCAAGTCACACACAGCTCATCACCCAGTTCTCAGGACTTCCCCACCCTTCCTTTCCGCCCTCAAGAAATGGCAAATGGCTGCTTTGGGAGTGACCAAATCTCTGGAATTTCTCCCACAGCATACTCCTTCCGCACTCTGCCCTACAAACTCATTTCAACAATCCAGCCCTGCACATAAGGGAGGCATTATTGAGTGGCCTGAAGCTTACAAAATCTTTCACTGGCTTTGTTTCTTAAAGAGTTAAAAAAAAAAATAGCTCTCTTGATTTTTGTTGCTTCCCCCACCCCCCAAAAAAAATGCAAAGATTTACTTCTGAGTGAGAATTTATAAGAAATTAAAAATCTGGAAATGTCCAATTCAGGGAATGAGAAATGTATCACCACAATAGATGTTTGAATTACAACTAGCATGTTTTGCACCCTACCTCTGTGCCATGAGCTACAAATATAAATCACATTTAAACAAGTTCAACTAAATTATAAAAGTGAACGTGGCTTGCTCTTTGAAGGATTTGCTGAGAGCACCAGCTTTGGTGTTCGGCACACCTGCACTCCAATCCAGGCTTTGCACGTAGTAGGTTGTCACTTCTCAGAAAGGACTTCCTGGTTGTCCTTTGTCAAATAAGTACATTGAGATGTTACAGCGGTAGTCAGAGACTTAACTAGGCTGTGCATAATAGTAAATGCAGCTAATATTACCTAAGTGTTTACTATATGCAAATGCTTTGCCTGAATTAACTCATTTAATCCTCAAACAACTGTAAAAGCAGAAGTGTGTTATTTTTATAAAAATGTAATTGTTATTTAGATGCTAATAAAACATAAGCTCCAGGACCCCTCACTTGTGCAAGCCTCTAAAAATGAGTGGTATTTGTGGTGCCTGTCAGATTGTCAAAATGTGTAATTTGTTGTGCTTTCTTTATCATTCTAAATGAATGGTCCTTTTAGCACCTAATTTTGTAGTCATCATTTGATACTTTTTTCCTTCAAGAGGGTCCTGCAAATTGTGTGCTTTACTCTCCTCCCAAAGCCTAGATCCACCCCTGCCTATGCAGTAGGAATTATTAACAATTCTGTCTCGCAGATGATGAAACTGAGGCCCAGAGAGGTTAAGTGACTTGCCCAGGTACACACAGCCTGTAAGTGATGAGGCCCAGATTAGAACCCAGGCAGTCTGGCACCACATGGAGTGCTCAACCAGAAAACATTATTGCCTCTTATTATTTTCACATAAAGCTCCTAGCAAACTCCCCGAGACACTGGGACGTTACAGATACTCAATAACTGGTGGCTTTTGCTATTTTGTCAATCTAAAACTGCTTTGATAATAATGGGAATATAACTCTATCTTTATTTAAAGACACTATATAAATGTCAACTAACAAAACAGATGACTCTGCAGCAGACAGTTTTTATACAAGGGACTTTCTTTTAAATACTAATTTCCCAAAATATCCTTTAAAAATACTACTGTTCAAAGTGTGCGGTTGGGCACAATGGCTTATGCCTGTAATACCAGCACTTTGAGAGGCCAGGGCAGGCAGATCATTTGAGCTCAGGAGTTTAAGACCAGCCTGGTCAACGTGATGAAACCCCGTCTCTATTAAAAATACAAAAATTAGCCAGGCATGGTGGAGTGCACCTGTAATCCCATCTGCCTGGGAGATTGAGGCATGAGAATCACTTGACTCCGGGAGCCAGAGGTTGCAGAGAGCAGAGAGCCCGCCACTGCACTCCAGCCTGGGTGACACAGCAAGATTCTGTCTCAAAAATAAATAAATAAATAAAGTGTGGTCCATGGACCACCTGCATCAGAATCATCTGCGTCCCATCCCAAACCTAATGGATCTAAACCAATGGAAGTGGAACTCAGGAAGCTAAATGTTTAATGAACACCCCAAGTGACTTTTTCCCCCCGAAGGGTGAAAACCATTGCTTTTAGGAGTCATTCCACTACGGATGACTAAGTGCCCATTGTCTACAGATGGGGTGGAGCGTGAGAGGTGAAGGAACTTGAATCTAAGGTGTTACTGGTATATTTCCAATTACAGGAATGACATTGAATTGACAAATAACTGCAATGCAAGTTAATAGTCATATTCAGCTATATGAACATTTGCATAAGATTTGCATAGACTTATATTTTAAAAATTAAGTTTACATACAATTTTAAAGACCATAATGATTGAGAATAGAGTGCTCATTACATTCTCAGGTTCTGTTCTAAGATGTAAGTATATTAATTGTTTCACCTTTCAAAATCCTAACTAAGTAATTGCATCATCCCCATACAGAGAAAGAGGCTTACAAATGTTAAGTGACTCCTCAGTAAGTGCAGACCCAAGATTTGAACCCAGAAATCTGGTGCCAAAGCCCATGCCCTCAAACCCTATATCACAAAAACTAAATATAAAAAAGAATGGATTAGGGATAAAAGATAAAATTGCAAGTTCATAGAAATTTCTACCTTGGATTTTTTTTCCTGATTTAGTCATTTCCAAGATAAATAGATATTGTGCTGGGTTGAAGACCGCATGAAATCACTAAAATAAGTCCAAGCCATGTTTTTCTATGACGGAAAGCCCAGAGACTGTGAAGCCTACTTGAGCTTGTAGATGTTAGAGTTTAAACGGTCTTCCTAGTTTAGACACAGAATCTTTGTTTCAGTCCATCCCACACTCTCCTATCTCCACGCCTCCAACAAAGTTTCAAGATCTTTACCCTAAATTCCTTCACTCAGCACTTCAGCAGCAGGAGTCTAAGACTATGGCCAGCATTAAGTGCTGACAACGTTTTAAGCACTGGGGTGTCATAATTCATTCAGTCCTCACAACCCTATCATTTCTCCACATTTCACAGAAGAGGAAAGTAAGGCCGAAAGGACATTGCCCAGGGTCCCAGAGCTGATAAGTGACAGGATCAAGGATCAAGTGGTCCCAGACATCCTGGCACCAAGCCCATGCCTTCAGCCATCTACTAAAACATCTCCCAGTTATTGAATGCCCACTGTATATCAGGTGCTTAACACAAACTAGCAGAGTCCTTGCAAGTTTGCTCAAAAAGAGCCGCATTCCCTGCCCTGACCAACAAGGACATGAAGGCTCTGAGAGATTAAAGGTCTTGCCCAGAACACACAACTAAGTAGAGCCCAGCCTGTCTCTTTGCATCCAAAGCCTGCACTTTTCCAAAACCACTACAATGCCTCCTGGGATTTTCATCAGCTATTCCCTCCCTAGAGGGAAGCATCATTACTATCACTTTACTGTTAAGCACATTCACAAGACAGAGAGCATGAAGATAACTATCTTCATGCTTAGGCAGTTGGTCTTCAAAACTGCTCTTCAAAACAGGGCCTAGAAAAGGGAGAAAAGGTCCGCCTACTTGTATCTTCCTCCCACCATGCACGAACACGCTGGAAGCTAAACGGCTTAAATATTTAAATGGCATGTGTGTGAACAGCACTTCTACTTTATGACAGGGTCATGTTGCGCATTATATCTCAATGCTATTTGTGTGAACCCGTTTCATACTTTTTAAAGACAAATTGCCTGTCTATTCATCATTTTATTGACATTTCATATTTGCAGGTTTTATTCGCCTGTGAGGTTAAGACATTTAAAACACAAATCCTGACAAACGCACAGACCAGCAACTCAAGGAACTCACACGCTTTGGTTCTCGGTGCTGGCCACCTTTAAATGCTAAATCACCCATAGTCACTAAACGGGAAAGTCGTGTTCTCCCCGTTTTCAGATGGGAAAAGCTGAGGCTGCCAGGAGGCTAGAACTCCTCTCAGATTGCCTTTCTCCCTGAATCAACCCGGAATGATGATAACAGCAGACTGCCCCCCACGCGTGGTAAGGAAAAAACCTTGTAATTATAATAACTTTTGGAGCTGCCTCAGAAATTAACAACGACGAACAGAAATCTGCACAATGAACAGGAGCCAAGAAGAAAAACGCGGCTCCGCAGGACAAGTCCCGGGCACAGTTCTGCAGGAAGCCTCAGGCCAGATCAGGCACCGCGGCTCACACAGAGGTGACCCACAAGTGACCCACAGAGGGGGACCCCTGGGCCTCCGGTGGGGGCCTGGGCTGCGGTCGAAGGGGGCCCGGGCAGAAGCCCCGAGGCCGGGGCGGCGGAGGGAAGGGGGCGGCCGCGCCCGGGCCCCGGCTCCCTGCGGCTCCACTTACTTGCTCCGTGGAGTGGCCCCAGCTCTGCGCCTCTTCCTGCGACCCCACACACAGGGACAGCCCCAGGCACAGCCCCAGCAGCAGGAGCATGGCGGGGCGAGGGCGCGGGACGCTCGGGGACCCGGCGGGACGCGCTTTGCAGCGCCCAGGGCTCCTGCCACTGCGGACGCGCGGCTCCGGCCGGCCCACCCCACTCCGCCCGACCCCGCCTCAGCCCGTGGTTTTCCCCTCCTTGGACCCCGCCTACCACCCAGTCCCAGTCCGGACTCACGCCCACCTGCGTCCCCTCCTGGACCCCGCCTACGCCAGTCCCATCGGACCCCGCCACCCCGCGGTCCCAGTTTCCGGAACCCCGCCCACCCACCGGTCCGCCAGTTCCGACCCCGCCCACCCCGGTTCCAGTCGGAACCCGCCCACCCCGCGTCCCCTTCCCTTGACCCCCGCCTCCCCCACGGTCCCAGTCCGGACCCCGCCCACCCCGGTTTCCAGTTCGGACCCGCCCACCCACGGTTCCCAGGCCACGGACCCCGGCCCACCCCGTGGTTTCCCCTCCTGGACCCGCCCTACCCCGAGTTTTCCCCAAGTCCGGACCCCGCCCACCCCTGCGGGGCTCCCCTCCTGGACCCGCCTACCCCAGTTCCCACTTCCCGGACCCGCCCAACCCCGCCAGGTGTCCCAGTTTCCGGACCCCCGGCCCACCCCACGCGGGTTTCCCAGTTCCGGACCGCGCCCACCCCGGGGTTCCCAGTTCCGGACCCCGCCCAACCCCGCCTGTCCCCTCCTGGGACCCCGGCCCACCCACGGTCCAGCCGGACCCCGCCGCCACCGTTAGGCCGCCTCCTGGACCCGCCTACAGTCCCAGTCCGGACCCGCCAACCCACCGTCCCAGTCGGACCGGCCTCCCAGTCCCCGGTTTCCGGATCGCCCACTCGACGGTCCCAGTTCCGGACCCGCCTACCCCCGCAGTCGCCCAGTCCCGGGACCCCGCCCACGCCCACGGGTCCCAGTCCGGACCCCGGCCCACCCCCGGGTCCCAGTCCGGACCCCGGCGCTACCCCCAAGTCCCAGTCCGGACCCCGGGCCCACCCACGGTCCCAGGTCCGGACCCCCGCATCCGACCCCACTGGTCCAGTCCGGACCCCGCCCAACCCCGGTTCCAGTCCGGACCCCCCGGCCCACCCGCGCGGTCCCCTCCTGGACCCCGCCCACCCCACGGTCCCAGTCGGGACCCCGCGCCACCCCGCAGTCCCCTCCTGGACTCAACTCTCCCACCCCCAGCCCAGACCCCACCTCCCCGCCCTTCTAATCCGGGCCCTGCCTTCTCCACGCCCATTCCCAATCCAGGCCCCTCATTTCCCGCCCGCTGACCAGACCCTTCCTCCCTGGACCCCCACTTGGCCCGGGCCTCGCCTCCCTGGGCCCCGGTCAGAACCCAGTTTCCCCAGGTCCCCAGCCCCAAGCCCCGCCTCTCCACGCCCCCATTTCCCCCCACCTCCCCCGTCCCGGCCCCACCTCTCCTGTCCCCGTCCCCACCGAGGCCAACTTCCCGGACCCCACCTACCGCCACCCCCGTAAACCCGTCCCCGCCTCCCTGAGCGCCCCCACCCCAGGCCCCGCCTCCCTAGCCCCCACCCCGCCCCGGGCGCCGCCTTCCCCGCCTCAGTCCCACCAGAGGCCGCGCCTCCCCAGCCCCCAACGCCGGGCTCGCTCTGTTCGGAGAGAAGTCACTCCAAGCCTGCCTCGCCGCGCACAGCAGGAGCCACCTGTGGTGTCCCCACAGACCCCCCCACACACACACCCTCCCATCCTGCGGCTGTGACACTTTGCTAAGGACCAGTCTCCTCTGTCGAGCCTCCTACTCCGTGTCTTGCCTCCCCCGCCCCGCAACTCTTTCTTCCTCTCCCTCAAGGTGCAAGATGCTTCTTTGTGGACTTGCTTAATTTCTGTCGCCAGAGGACGCGGGAAGGCCAGCCTGGCCCTCAGCACAGAGCCCACCCCGCACCTGCCAGCCTGAAGCCGGCAGATCGTCCCCTCTGCACTGGCCACGGTCGCTTAGCAGGCAGGACAAAGGATGCTACCTGCAGTCTAGCGCAGGAGGGACTGGCAAGGCTGCCGGCCTTTATGTTCTGGACTAAGGAGAAAAAGACGAGAGGAGGGAAGTGTCTTGGCAGCGTGTAGTGTTTCAGAGTTTCTGGTTATTAATCATGAAAGTGAGTGCCATTATGTATCTTAGTTACAAACTATTGGTGATACTTCCATCCTGCCTTTGGAAGAATTCTTACCCACAAGTCGTCTGCACCTGGCCTTCTATAGGCTGAGTGCGCCTTTTTTATCTGGTGATACACATTGCAGTTGGGGCTACTTGTTCATTTCATCTTGCAAAGGATGTTTTTTATGTCTCTGTGACACTTTCATCTAAATGGATGAGGTGAGTGACAGACCTTAAGGACCAAAAACAGGGAAGTGGCTAACCTCGGACCATGGAATAGAGAATATTATTGCATGTAGGATAACTATGGGGCCGTTAAATAATCATTGCGACGCCTCTAGAAACATGGAGAATGTTGACAGTGTGATCTAAAGAGAAAATCACATCACCAGATCGTATCAACAGTATGATTGCAATTAGGTAGAAATACATATGAATGCACATAACTAGAAAAAAACATGAAAAATAAAAACAGTGGGTAGGTTAGTTTGTGGTGAGACCCTCGAAAACATTTATTCTTGTTGAAATGCTGTTTAACAAATTAGGAGAGGTTAAAAACAAACACCTTGCTACTGTGAAATAAATGGAAGGAAAATTATTGTCATCAGCAGTTAATCCTTTAGTAGCCTAACCACTAGTCAGCATGCAACCAATAGGAAACAACTGTAGCTGGTTATTTTTCCCAGGAGAGGAAAGTAACTATTTGTGAACCGGAAGTTGAATGGACAAAGCCAGGTTATTTGCAGTGGGGAACCATACAGCCGCCATTATTTCAATCCATGATTGCAACAGAACAGACTCCATCATCTTTCCTGCCCTACCATCCCTTTCTCTTGAAATGTTGAAAGGGCCCATATTAAACTATTTTTGCCTTTATAGCTGATCTCTCTTTTTTTTTTTTTTTTCCAAATTCATACTAACTGGGTTTTACAGCAGTCTAACGTTAAGAAAAGTGAGTTTTATTTTCTTCATCTGGGAGGACCCTCTGATTCTACCCTAGACTGTGGTGCTAATGTGTTGTTTGTTTAATAAAAAGCCAGTTTCTCCAATTGGATCAGCTCTTTGAGGACAAGCATCTCCCCCAACTTCTAGTACTGTGCTAAATATATTGTTAGCACTTAACGGCCTTTTGATGCATGAGATTAGTAGATGGCAGGAATGAGTGTGGAAGGTAGAGCCAGGCTGTGCCAGGGAGGTGGGGCTGGGCTAGAGTGCAAACTTGACCGCTACCTAGCTGTATGACTTGTTAGAGTTTCTGAACTTCCTATTATTTTCAAGCTGTAATAGTTCAGTATTCTGTGTGACACTTGTGTATCTGTATGATGATCTTTAAAATCTAGGTAGGTGTGATAAAAATAAGACCTAGTGAAAGTTTTCCAAGATTGCCAACAAGCAAAGGCAGTGATTTATATCAGCCTTATAAATAAGGGCCAAGGTGTCCCCACATACATTTGTCCTTTGATTCCACGTTTCTCATGTTACCTCCAGGAGGAGCTGAATTTCTGGTTACTGAACGCATAAAATCTCAAAGCTAGAAAAGACCCTGCAGGATGTCTAGCTCAATTCATTCACTGGGACCATGTGCCATGAGTGACACATCACAGGGAAGGACTCTGGTGTTCACAGACAGGATCTAGATGCAGAGCTCAGTGACAAGGAATTCAGAGTCCAAAAATGAATAGGAGCTGTTTCTCCTGGGCCAGAGATGCTGCTCTGTCCACGCCACTTCTAGGAAATGATTCCCACAAGTAACTGAACGATGGGCCAAAGTATTCCGGAATCGTCGAATCACACTTCTGAGCTTTATCCCTTTATCCTGGTCACCTACTGGAGACTACCAACGGATGGGCCCAAAATCATGGTCAAAACAACCATGACTTAAAGAGATTAAAGAGTTGAAAGCAGGCTGCATATTTGTTTTCTTTTAAACCTCTCCCTTGATTTTACATCCTGACACCCCATAGCTCCTAAATCCAGCTATGGTTAGAGTCAAGCCACCACCCAGTCCTTTGGTCTCCACCTCCTCTCCCTCTCCCATCCTCCCTTCTGAGCCTCTGGAAGGCCACTGTTCTATTCTGGGCCAGCTCTTTCTCCCCATCCTTGGTCTGCTCCTTTTTTATCTACTTATATGGCCTTCTGTGTTTCTCTTGGCCCCCTGACAACTATGTAGAATGGCTACAGTTTTTTACAACCTTGCCTTTTTTTTTTTTTTTCCTTGATTAGAGGGGACTACTAGGGAGGAAATGGGTTCCTTTTGACTTTGACCTGACGATTTCTCAGAAGCCCAGTTACGGCCTGTCAGGAGTCTAGTTATACCCACTTTTCATCTGCTTCACCAAGCACTGAGTTTTGTCCACAGAGATTTGTGAAGGAAGAAATAGGGAATGCAGTTTTCAAATTTATGATTGGTGATTGCTGAACTCATCAACTGTTCACAAAATGTAACGCTTACCATGTTTTAATTATTGGCTTGCAGATTTGAGACCCAAATTAGACTCTGATTTCTTCATGGTCAAGGATTATGTCATTCTTGTTTTGACATCCTCAGGCTCTGACACATGGCCTGGAATAGAGTAGACATGCTGTATGTTTGACGAATGAATGAAAAAATGTATATCTGCCATTCTGTTACCCTGTGCTAGTTGTGTATGACATGACAAGTTTTAGACAGAGTCCATGACCTTGAAGAAGTTACCATTTAGATATGAAGATGGAGCTAACAAAATGGACAAAATTGGAACTCAATAGTGATTTTCTAAGAGGAGAAGGGACAAGATTGTGATTGTAGTTGTGGTCTGGAAGGCTTCATGAAGGACGTGGAAGTTAATATTTGCATGAATTTGATTTTGAAAGCCAAGTGGAGAAGAGAAAACATCAAGGAGACAGAGAAGGAGGGGGACACCAGTGGAAAAGGCTTTGACATTGGGGAAAGAACAATATAAAATTCTGAGGTTCAAGTCTGGGCAGTTGCCTGTGGAATTTGGTGGGGAAGGAGAGCTGAAAAATGGGAAAGTGTAACACAGTGATCCCAAACACAAATCTGCCAGCCAGTGCAGATTCCTGACCCCATTTTCTCCATCTGCTTGTGGAAGGAGAAAACTGAAGTCATCATGTGGTATTTCTTTTTTTTTTTTTTTTTTTTTGGAGACAAGATCTCTGTCTCCCAGGCTGGAATGCAGTTGTGCGATCTGAGCTCACTGCAAACTCTGCTTCACGGAGTCAAGCAATTCTCCCACCTATTCTCCCACCTCAGCCTCAACCATGCCCGGCTAATTTTTGTATTTTTAGTAGAGATGGGGTTTCACCATGTTTCCCAGGCTGGTCTCAAACTCCTGAGCTCAGGTGATCCGCCCACCTCAGCCTCCCAAAGTACTGGGATTACATGTGTGAGCCACGATGCCCCACCAACTTCTTACTTTAAAGAATTGTCCTTTGTTGTGCTCTAAGGTTTTTGTTACTCCTTCATCAATAACAATATTGATAACACTGCCTCACTGTGAGCCTGTGGGGTGGAGAGTGAAAAATGTATGTCCCCATGGGAGGTATGTATATTGGGAAGGGGATGGTAAACCAAGATCTCAGGAAGACAGTGGAAAACCTGGTTAGCTGGGCATGGTGGCTCATTCCTGTAATCCTAACTACTCAGGAGGCTGAGGCAGGAGGATCACTTGAGACCAGGAGTTTGAAACCAGCCTGAGCAACATAGCAAGACCGCCGTCAAGAAAGAAAAAAAGGAAGGAAGGAAGGAAAGAAAGAAGGAAGGAAGGGAGGGAGGGAGGGGGAAGGAAGGAGGGGGGGAGAGAGAGAGGGATGGAAAGAGAAAGAAAGAGAGAAGGAGGGAGGGAAGAAAAGAAAAAAGGAAGGGAGGGAGGGAGGGAAAGAGAGAGAGGGAAGGAAAGCAGGAAGAAGGGAAGGAGGAAGGAAGGAAGGAAGAAAGGAAGGAAGGAAGGGGAGGGGAGGGGGAAAGGGAGGGAAAGAAAGACAAAGAGAGAAAGGGGGAGGAAGGTAAGGAAGGAAGGAAAAGAAAGCAGGAAAGAAAGAAAAGAATAACGTTCTTGATAATATAGAAATCCTGCTAACACATCCCACAGATGTAG